TTGGGTGAAAACGTTGTTGATAAAGAGAACATCAACATCTAGATTGAATACCTCTCTCGGAGCCACACTTTAAAATTATTGAACCTCAAATCCAAGAAGGTTAGGTTCTTGGCTTTGAACACTTCCATCGGTAAATTACCGTTGAGCATGTTGTTGCTGAGATCACGCTCATACAGATACTGGAGTTTTGATACATTTAACGGTATATTACCTGGAAAGAACAGAGTCAGAGTATGTGTAGAAACAGAGTACTCTGTGTAAACAAAATTATAAATTATCAATTCCTGTGAATTTATTTCAATTTGCGTGGAAAATGGCTAATTCGTTTAATTCCTCCAGGAAGTCATCGAGACGGAGGTCCTGTCCTTCGAAGTTAGCGCCATTAAAATCAATTGCGGCGAGGGCATGCAGTTTCGTCTTGTCCGAAAGTTTCTCACATGTAAATCCCCTGTATTTGCAGATATCTGTGCCCGTCCATATTTTCGTGTAGCCGCATGGTTCCTTTTTTGACTCGTTTTGCAAATCTCTGGATTGTGTAGTAGTCCCTTTCGAGTAGCTTGTTTTCAAACTTAGGACAGGACGGCGGAGGAGGTGTAGTACATTGACAATCTCCTGTATATTCAGGAGATGGGGCACGGGTAGTGCCACCTCCACGGTTAATGATTTCCATTGCTTCCCTCCCTGTACTTGTCACCTCATCACTGCCTCTGTCCGCAGCCTTCCGACACAACCCAGGATGAAAATTGAAAGAAATAAAGAGCAGAAATGAAGCAAAAAAGAATGAAAAAGCACCCATATCTTTGTTTCAATTTGAGCACGTGAAGGAAATCGAACGGGCACATTTGTATACATGAAAAAGACTTATTGGTAAGTAAATGTCCTTTTCTAGATCGAAGTGTAGATCGCATCAACACCTTAAAAAAATTATTTTTTTTTAGAAGGCACTTTTCAATATGTGTTTTCGGATGTTAGTTAAAAATTTTTTTTATTAAAAATATAAATATAAATATAAAAATTAATATTAATTTTATTATTGATATTAAATGAAAA